AAATAAATATATTTAAAATTAATATTTTTAAAATAAAAGATATAAATTAATATATTAACAAAAACCTAATATATAGTGATGTATATATCATCATAAATAATATATAATTCTTTTAATTTAAAATTAAAAAATGTGTTCTTCCCTCCCCTCCCTTCCAAAAGTCCCCTCCCAAATATACCCTTAGAGAGAACTATGAGATTTAAGGTTAAAAGGGTAATAGTAATTTTAGAACACTAAACAATTAAAAATAAAAATTACGTAAAATTTATATAAAGTTTTTAACATCATAAATATATATATTTTTATTAAGTATACTTTTGATTTGCTAGCCTGTGATTGAAACATCGTGCTTGCTACCATGCCATTGCATTTTAAAGGGTATAGATGCCTTAGGTAAGGGAAGTAATAAGAAGAAGCTAATTTAGAATTGTAGATCAATGTGCAAAGTAATCTTTTATAACCGTTTTAAAAGTTATAAATTTTGTTAATTTTAGTAAATGATTCACATATTTCTATTAAAATAATTTAGGTCATACACTAAGTTAGATTTCACCTTCTAGTTCACTAACTTGAAGAACTAATGTAGAATCAATCTTTATGATATATTTGGAGAGCGATTATCATATAAATGCTCTATAAAATTCTACTTGAAGAGTGGTTATTTTAAAATTGCTCTCTAAAAAAGAGTTGGAGAGGGTTCAAATTTAATCGTTCTCTAAAATATATGATTAAAAGAGCATAACATGTAGAATCGCTCTCTAAGATTGAAGAATACTTTGGAGAGTGTTCCATATTTAACTACTCTTCAAGTTCACTTTTAGAAAACAATTTCACATGATATCACTCTTCATTGTTCCATTTTAGAGAGCAGTTCTAGTTTATTTGCTCTCTAAAATAGAACCTTCTCTAAAATAGAACCTTAAAACCTAAAACTTCTTCATCCCTATTCTCGTGTTCACTCTCTGCTTCTGCTACCCTCATATTTCTCTTAGTTCTTTTTTATCTGAAATGTGTTTGTGGCACCCTTTGCACAGTTGACGTTGCATTCATACTCCTAAGGTATACACTTCTTCTTTGCCTTTCATCATTGTGAATAATACTTTCTACTATCCTTTTACTCAAATGCACCATTATTCAAAATGAATAGTGCACCCTCGTCCTTGGCATTGACGTGAACTATGACTGAGGTGGAAGTCTACTACATTGAGATCAATGACACTGAATATTTTTGTATTTTTAGTGTAACTTATATTTAAGTTTTGATTATTTCCTGACAGAGAGCATATATGTACTGAAACTTATTATATTTAGTGAAGTTTAGATTGCAAATGTTCAACTTTAGGTTAATGGACATGGGCTATTATTGTATGTAGCAATTTGACTAACAGAAAGCATGTAGTTTATGTAACATAATATAATAAAGATAGAGTTGTGATAATATTTCTGGGTTGTGTGCTTCAATTTTGAACTTGAATATATATGGTTATGCACAGTAGGTGATGTTGGTATAATTTTTTGACATTTCAAATGAGTACCTTTTGCGATGTGGTTTCAATCATAGAGAGAGAGTTAGTGTCTCCTTATTCAGCTAGATCATGATGAGTCCATGTGATGCCCTATTGTATAGCCTTAGGTAGAGACATGTAAACCTGCAATAGTATGTTATGATGAGATAGAAGTGAATGCATATAGCCTTAGCTTAGGCAGAAATAGAAACCTACAAGAAAGTGTTGTCAAAATGGTATAATTTTTAGTGGATTTACAGTTTGAATTGTTTTCAAGATTTCTTTGCTTAGGATTGGTGAAATAAAAACAGTCTATATTTGTTAGTTTAGGACTGCCCCTTAGTAATGAAATTATATGTCTTAGGCAATTTGTTATGTTTTTTTTTTATTATTTAAGTTTGTTGTATGCTTTGTTATTTGATGAAACACATGACAATGCACATTGTTATACTTTATGAAATGTTGTGAATGCATGTAAATTATTATCTAAATGTACTTTGAATTTATGATTTAATTTTGAAATTTTAGTGAAATCTTATTTTCCCATTTGACATTCAAAATAATGATTTCTTCAAAATAATAATTGAAGAAATCATTATTTTGAATCTTAAATTGTCCAAGTTAGACAGCTTGGGAACAAAAATTTTCATTGATTAGTTGGTAAATGCTTCTTAAAATGTTGTATATTATATTTGAAAATTTTAATTTGCTACATTTGTCATTGTCTCTTGGTGTATGTTTGATTGAAGTAAATGATATCATATTCAAGTTGTGTAGTAAGAGATCAATGCAAAATACGACCAAAATTTTGTCAAGTATAAAATACAAAGTTTAAGCAGTAAATACTAATTAATGCATGAAAAACTTTATTCTCAAATGGGATAAGGACCTATCATGTGAGACAAAATAAGACATTGATTCATGTAATTGTCATAAGCTATAGTTTGAGAAAATACGGATTAAAGTTGGATGAGAGTTAATTGTTTGATTGAAGAATATGCAAATGGAGTGAAAGAGTTCATTAGATTTTCGATTGTGCATGCTAGTGATATCAACCTCATTCCTTACTCTTGTTGGTGTTCTTTGAATATGATGCGAGTAAATGTTGAATAATTGGAAGAACATCTAATGTGTAATATGGAATTAGTGAAAAATATACTTGTTGGACAAAGTATGATAAGATACAAGATGTGAGTACATCACATAACATAAAGACTAGTGTGTATTACTCAAAGAAATTAATTAGATATGAGAATGATTATATTGAAGCTATTTCAAATGTTGTTGACAAAGATTGTAGAGATTACAAAAAATTACTTAATAATTTGTATTCATTTTGCTTAATTTCTACCCTATTCTCAATTTAACTTGACTTTGTATTTTGTTATGTCTTTAGTATTTTCTAGAGTTCTACTTTCCAACTTTTCCTAATAATAGAGTTCAGCAAGTTTAAAAGGACTAGTATGCAAATATGTACCATAAATATTTGAAAGACACATTAAGTATAATAGATTTTTAGTGATTTTTTCATGAGTACAATGTATATTCTTAAACACATTTGTAAGTGTATAGGTTGTTATTCATTGTGGTTCATTCATTAATGTAATTATATTAGTTTTTTCCTTTTTTGTATTGTTATTATTTTGTGATATTGAATTGTTCTCAATTTGATTTAATAATTGATTGTATATTTACTATTTTGTTGGTTTAAAATTTTAGGATATCAAGTATAGTTGAGATATTGAAATCTTCCCAACCTTTTTAGAACTATTCATTATAGTCTATTAGATGTAACAGAATTTTGTGATAATGTGAAATTAATAAAAAAATTTGTTAAATTTTTTCATAATTTTACAGAGCGATTCAAGGAACTATTCTTAACTTTAGATAGCAATTCATGTGAATGAAATTGCTCTAAAAAATGAAGATTGGAGAGCCCATGTGAAACATTCTCCAAAATATAAAGTTTAGAAAATAGTATACTCACATTAAATAAGATTTTAAAGCATATTAAAATGCTCTTTTAAGTAAAGACACAAGAGTCCTCTCATTTTTTTACTTAGGAGAGGTAACATTTTTTGTCTTGCACCTTTGTCTGTCCATCTCTTATCAATGATGGAGATAAAAAATTGAGAATATCATGTGCAAACTCAAAGATCTCTTCAAAAGATTTTGCACAAAGAAATGAAATAAAGTATGTATTATAGTATCCTAAAATTTTGTTACGAGTATCATACCCAAAAAATTTATATCAATTAAAAAAACATGTAGTAAATTATAAAAAATATATATTATTATATATAATTTATTTAAAATTATATTATTTATATTATTTACTACATATTATTATTATTATTATATATTAAATTTTTTATTTTATTTTTTTATAAGTTTTAGTTTCAAATAAAATATGATTTTTATTTAAGAAATTTTTATTTATTATAAATAAAAATAATTATAACATAATATATTAATATAATATTATTATTTTATTTTTTAATTTTAATTTATTTAATTTTAATTGTGTCTTATTGTTGTCGAAAAACTTAACCACTTTTTAGCATGTTAAAATGTAATAAATATAATAATTTATTATTAAATAAATTTATTATTTAATCATGTTAAATATTATTAGACAGTACTTGAAAATTTCTAAGAGTACCATAGAGTTGTAAAAAAAATAATTTGATTGGGCTTTCAAAATAAATACATTATTTGGAGGAGTTTTTCTAGTGCTCCAATTATTTAATAATAAAATTTGTAAATATAAAATAGTGTATTAAATACGAGCACACGCAGATACAAAATATTAATATGCATAGAAAGGGGCATCAGTGTCCCTTCACCGGAGAAATTACCTGGAAACATCACCGTTAGAAATGCTCTCCAAGAAGGTAACGCGATCTAAGAAAGTACGTGCATATGCGCACTATCTAACCACGTTAGGGATTTCATCCTCCTCCTTGACTACCTCGTCACTCTTTACACTAATATTATTGGCCCTTTATTTTTAAAGTTATAGTTTCGTCCTTTATTTTCCTATGTAACAAAAAAAAGTTGCAAAAATAAGAATTAGTGCAATAAAATTTGCATATATAGTTCTAATTTAGAATAATTTACATTTTTTTTGTACCGTGATTCTTAACATTTTCTTAAATAATTTTATATTAATTTTGTGCCCTTGAAAGATGAAATAAAATTTTAAAAAGCTAATAATAAATATATTTAAAAATATAGAATTATGATAAAATTATCATATTATTTTCTACTATTTTATTTTATATTTTATCTTTAATAATTAATTATTTTAAATATAAATATAGTTATACAAATACTTCTGTATTTTTTAGTAGAGAAATCATTTTAAAATTTAAATGAAATAGATTTTCCAAATATAGTTAAATTTATATAATTAATTATTAAAATAAAAAAATCGCAAATATAGGGTTAATTTATTCCCTTTTTTGTTGGTTTTATCTAGGGAGAAGGAAAAAGTGGGCAATGGTGTGCCTGATGTCATGTCAGGTGGATGCGATAAATGTAATGAATTTTGGGGGAAGGGGAATCTTGGTGGAATTGAGGAGGTGAGATCAGATCAAGAATGCACTTGAGCGAGAACGAAGGAATAGAGGGGAAGGCCTTCGTGGTCACGGGTGGATTGGGATTTGTAGGATCTGCACTGTGCTTGGAGCTCATCCGAAGAGGTGCGAGAGAGGTGCGAGCCTTTGACCTACGCGCCTCTTCTCCTTGGTCGCACGTTCTCCAGGATAAGGGAGTTCTCTGCATTCAAGGTTCATTTTTATAGTGTTTTCATTTCAAGTTCATGTTATCATCAATGTTACTGTTATTATCTATATGACTGGCTCTGTGCCTCTGTGAACCAAAAGGGGATGTTACCCGCAAAGAAGACGTTGCAAAGGCCCTCCGTGGTGCTGATTGTGTATTCCACCTTGCGGCCTTCGGAATGTCAGGCAAAGAGATGCTCCAATTTGGTCGTGTTGATGAAGTCAACATAAATGGGACTTGCCATGTAATCGACGCTTGCCTCGACCGTGGCATCAAAAGGCTTGTCTACTGTAGCACATACAATGTTGTCTTTGGCGGTCAACAGATCATCAACGGAAATGAGACTCTGCCGTATTTCCCAATTGATCACCATGTCGATCCCTATGGCCGCAGTAAATCAATTGCTGAACAGTTGGTTCTAAAGAATAATGCCCGCACTTTCAAGTACATAATTTTTTCATTCCTTTTCCTCTCGCTGCTGATTTCACTACTGTTATATATATAATGATTAGATTAGCAGTAACTAACTTGCACCCAAATTAAAAATAATAATTATGAATATCTTTTTTTTTCTACATGGTTGCTACTTTTTCATCCTCTCAAGGAATGATGCCGGGAATCGTCTTTACACTTGTGCTGTTCGTCCAGCTGCAATCTATGGGCCGGGTGAAGACAGACACCTTCCAAGGATCATAACCATGGCCAGATTGGGTCTGCTTTTGTTCAGAATTGGGGACCAAACTGTAAAATCAGATTGGCTTTTTGTGGATAACCTTGTGCTTGCTCTTATTATGGCAAGTATGGGACTTTTGGATGACAATCCTGCCACGGGAAAACGCCCTAAAGCTGCTGGCCAGGCGTACTTTATATCTGACGGTAATCATTTCTCTGTTGATGTTTCTACTAACAAGTAACAAACTGTGCTGGAAATTTGGGAAACAACTGCTGAGTGAGTGAGTCTTCTTTTTCAGGTTCGCCAATTAATAGTTTTGAATTCCTCCAACCTCTACTTAGGAGTTTGGATTATGAAATACCAAAGACTTCCTTAGCTGTCGATCACGCTCTTGTTCTTGGGAGGATTTGCTGGGGTGTTTATACAGTCCTTTATCCATGGCTCAATCGGTGGTGGCTCCCACAGCCATTCATCCTTCCCTCTGAAGTACACAAGGTCAGTTCTTTTCTTTAACTCTAGCTAGCTTAATGGTTGGACACTTCTCTGGCTGCATGCTTGAAATAGATGAACCTTGGAAACTTAGGTAGCCATGTCTTTTAAATAAGGATGCATCCAGCAGCTATGATGATTTGTGAAAGCTCAAATATGTACTTTCATATTTGTTCTTTGACAGGTAGGGGTGACCCACTATTTCTCTTATCTTAAAGCCAAAGAGGAGATCGGCTATGTTCCCATGGTGACCTCGCGAGAGGGAATGGCTTTGACCATAAATTACTGGCAAGAGAGGAAAAGGAGAACTCTGGATGGCCCGACAATCTTCGTGTGGCTGTTTTGTGTCATTGGAATGTTCTCACTGTTTTGTGCTGCCTTCTTACCGGACATAGGGATTGTGTTCCCTCTCAGAGCTGTAAGTCTATTTGTCTTTCGGTCAATGTGGATGACAAGGCTGGTGTTTTTCCTAGCTACAGCTGTTCATATCATTGAGGCCATTTATGCTTGGTACCTGGCTAAAAGGGTGGATCCTGCCAATGCAAGGGGATGGTTTTGGCAAACTTTTGCTCTTGGGATATTTTCGTTGCGTTTTCTATTGAAAAGAGCAAGGCTATAGCATCCCAAATGCTTTTGCAGATTACTTGTACAATTACAGTACAGGTTAGGAAATGAAATGTCTTTCCTGTCGATTGCATGATAAAATGGAATATGTTCAACTATCCACGCGTTAGAGAAATGGCCCATGTCAAAACTTTTCCATCATGCAGTGTTGAATAAAATTCTTCGGATATTTTGCCAAATGATCCCCTAATCCTAACCGAATTAGAGGAATGGATATTCAATTCCTACCGTGAACACCTAATTTTGTCTACGTCATTTTTAAAAAAACAGATGAAAAAATAGTAATATTTAGTACCATTGTTTCCAGTAGTTTTTGAAATACGCAAGTAAAAAATCTAAAAATAATGACAATGTACACTTTCTTTTAGCTTTTTTGTTTTTTCTTTGGTACATTGGAAAGAAAGAACAGAAAAAATTTAGACAGATAAATCAGAGGTATAGGCGCTTTGGGCAAAGGAGGGGAGAGAATCCCTAGGCCTAATGCAGTCGTACATGGTTAGGCCATGTTTAGTTAAATGATCTGCTACTGTGTTTGCTTCTTTAGAGGTAACACAAGCAACGTGATCAAATCTCTAGACAAATCCTTTAATGTCCAACAACAAATTAGTAGGCAACACATGTTGAAAGCACTAGTTGCATGACTTCTACACAGTCCGACTCTATGATAATATGATGCTGTTGCTCGTCAGCAAGTCAAAGATTCCATTTTATTGCATGTAACTCAGCAGTTAGGGGATCATCTTGACCACTATAAGAGGAAAAACCGTTAATCTTACCACCATTATTAGACTTGATGATACCACCAGAAGAAACTTTTCTAAAAATTTCTATAAATATTTAAAATGTGTTTAATGATTTATTTGTAAATATTAATTTTAAATAATAAAATATTATAAAATTAAATGACATTCATGTATGCTTAACATTTAAATAAAGAACTTAACATTTTAATAGAAGAGAGTTTATGATAGAAACTAAATTTTAACTTTTTAATATTTTAGAGACTAATTTTTTAAAAAAAAAATTAAAACTTCTTGCTAAATATGTTATATTATAGGGATCAATCACATATTTAAGTTAAAAAAATAAAACTAAAATATTTGGATTAATTAAAAATTCTTAAGAATTTTTTATAATAAAATTTAGGAAGTTTTTAAAATATTGATCAATTTTCAATAGACATTTAAAATGCGCAATTTTTGAAAGGACAAAATATTTAATTAATTCTTTTTTTAATTATTATAAAAGTTTAAAAATTGTTTAGATTTAATACGGTCATTTTTTAAGAAGGGACTTTTTTAAAAAAATTACCATAATATGGGCTTTTGAAAAGTATTACTTGAATATGAGATTTTTGAAAACTTGTCAATGGTGACTTTTGAAGATAGAAAATTAGTTAAAAATAAAAAGTCGTCAATGATGAGTTTTTTTTTTTTTTAAATTATACCTTAAAAGATTATTAATAATGAGTTTTAAAAAAATTAAAAATAAGACAAAATTGTCAATGATGAGTTTTGAAAAGTAAAATCACCATTGGCCTTTTTTGAAATTTTGTTCTATATATAGACATTTGTCATTTGCGAATTGCACCTTAAGATTTCTATTTCATTACTTAGCTTTTCATTTCATTTCTCTGAATCTTATCATTTCATTCTTCATTTCTCTTAATCTTATCATTTCATTCTTCATTTCTACTACTTTATAGTTGAAGAAAGAAATGAGTGCAAATACAATAGTCTACTTTAACGGTAAAATTGTTGCAAACAGAAGTGAAGGTGTGAGATGTATGTGAGAAGCCAATTTATATGCATATTCCATATCATATGAAGCACTAAAATATTGACTTTGTCAATTTATTGAAATGGAGACTCCAAAAATAGTGGAGAGTATAACTTACAATTGTCCAATTTCTATTTTTAGAGGTTTCATGCAATACTAAGAAATTCCAATAAGCAATGGTGATAATATTCAACAAATGTTTTATATACATTACAAGTGTCATGCCCCAACTCCTAACATTGAGTTGTATGTTGTTTTTTAAAAGTATTACAATTGGTGCATATGCAGAAGGTGCCAATGAGGAGGATGAAACCTATGCGAGCATCTTTCATAATAGAGAGTAGAATGAGAACAAAATAACACCAAAAGTGGTGATGTCAACTTTGAGAAGATTATGGAAGTGGTGAGGATGGTGATGGGGGATGTAGATGATGATGTAGATGATGAGGACTCTTATTTATTAAACCCAGTGATTGACCAACATTTGTTTAGGGAGTCATTGTAACACCTTCTTTTCATTTTTTCAGTAATTTATGTTTTGTTTAATATTAAGTAGTATTAGAGTGCATTTAGAAGAAAATATAGAGGATTTTTAGAAGAAGTTTGGTGCAGAAGATCTCGCTCAAGCGAAGTAAATCTCGCCCAGGCGAGATTGAGCGTGCAGAAATGCAATGCTACAGGGCTATCTCGCTCAAGTGAGATAGGATAAATTCAGCTCAATTGTCACCTCGCATAGGCGAGAGTGATCTCGCTCAGGCGAGATGGGATCTCGCTCAGGCGAGGACTCACAGGAAAAATATCATGCTCTCTAGACGCCATCTCGCTCAAGCGAGCATATTAAAAAATAGTATGTGAGACCACTGTCTGCATATCTCGCTCAGGCGACAGACCCGTCACTCAAGCGAGATATTATCGCTTAAGCGACCTGTTCCTCGCTCGAGCGAGACCACATGAGGCTGAAGGGTATTTAAGAGATTTTCAGCATGAAAATTTCATTTCATTTTAAGCCCACGTCCCTCTCTCAGTTTTCTCTGAACTCCTTCTTCTATTCTCTAGATAAAAGTTTTAGAAACTCCAATCTCTTTTTGAATCCAAGCTTGGATATTGAAACAACTCCAAGTAAATTTCTTTGAATTAAACTTGAATTTCTTCGATCGTTTTCATGTTTTTGTTCCTTATGAATATCTCTTGGTATTCAGGAAAACTTCCATAGTTGACCTTGATCCTTTTCAATATCTCTTTGTGAACTCATTTTTTAGGTAAAGAGGGCTCTATTTTATCGTTATATTATAATATTTATTTTGTACTTATAGAGCATTATTACATGAACATCTTTTGAGAATATGTGGCTGAGATATCTATTGTGTGAATAATAAATGAAAAGATGTTTGTTTGATTGTTTGGACTGATTGATTGTTTATACTAAATGATTGGTATATACATTATATGATGAGTACTTAATGTGAAGTATGATTAAATTTGCTGAGTGATTTTTTATGAGATTTTATGAAATATGTCTGAGTAAAATGATACAAAGAAATGATATTGATCTAAAAGAATTTAACAGTTGTAACTATATCGATAAGTGTAGGAGTGAAATGGATTGGAATGGAATTAGTCTGGAAGTGATTTACTAAGCATGATCTTATGAATGAGAAAGAGGATAATTTTGAGAATGACTTAAGAGTCGGATATGGATTAGATCTAGTGTGAATAGTTACAGAGATACACTGGGGGTATAGAGTCTAGAGATGATGAAAATCTGGGAGAAACGTAGGGTTGTGAGCGACATTCGCGTCTGTGTACACACTTTTTCTGAGAGCGAATGCGTCACATGGCCTCATACTTGTTTCCTGACTATGCTTTTACTAATGGGCCTGATTATTATTGTATATGTTGTATTCGTGTGCATGGGCTAACCGGCGACTATTTACCTAGTTGAGTAAAACTCAAGAAATGCTGGAGGCATCGATATGTGTACTTGAATAGATAATAAATTATGAATGATATGTGCTTGAATATGTTTGCCATGTGAATTTAGTGTGAAAATGGATATATTACAATTTTAATATAAACTATGATTTTGTGATATAATGTTTGAAAAATGATAGAATAGACGCTCATCCTTACTAATATTTTCAGGAAAACAGGATGACGGAGCCCCAGAGAAGAGTTAGATTAATAGATAAATCAATACATAATATGCTTAATTTTGTATTTAATGAATATTAAAGAGTATGTTATTTTAAATTTATTGTTCTTGTAGAAGATGAACTTAGAACTTTTGTTATGTTAGAAATGTATTTCTTTTGTAGTATTCTTTTTTATTTTCCTAGGAATAGAATACATCAGACTCTATGTATCTATATGTATAGAGGTATGGTTAGAACTCCGACTGTAACACCTTAATTTAATTTCAATAAATAAAGAATTTCGTAAATTTTCAAAATAATAAAATTTCTATTTTCAATCCAAGTTCATTAAGCATTTCAAATAAAGAAAGGGTTTACAAATTACATCAAACAGTTGCTACAAGACTTATTCAAATACAACAGTTTTCAAAATAATATTTTAAGTCCTATAGCAGTTCCATCCACCCCTTCACTGAACCCGGTGCTGATCATCTTAATTACCTGAAAAATGAATGCAAGAGTGAGTACTTTACGCTAACAAAACACAATCAAACATAGAGTCTCATCTCCCGCACATTTCCAACACATTACATAACCACAATCACAGGCAGCATTTCACATCCATAAGTATAAAACATAAATCCATGCATACGCAGACTAGCCACACTCATTGTAGCACCGTGATTACAAATTTACACCATGAATGGTCGCCGGTTACCCCCGCCTCACGGATACCACGTGGGCAGTCACGGGTCGTTCAGCAAAAGTAATGGTCAGAGGTCTAGTCAAGAAGAGAGTGTGTGGCCCGTGGTGCACCCATTCCGCAGTCGGTGTCACCACCACTCCCTCTTCCCCAAGGTATTTCTACCGTCCTCATCTCTCACACCTCTAGTGTATCGCTGAACATTACAACGGCGCTAACACGCCCATTCACACATATCTCATTCATGCACGCAATAATCATGCTTACACACGGCACACAGCCTATATTCAATTCACATTACACGGCACATAGCCCACATTTATCGTTCATATTACACAGCCCTTGGGCCTACATTTTCACAATATTCATTCAAATATATGGCATAAGTGTCCATACTCATTCACAACAC